ACCTCCATGTAACGGACCCTCGATATAATGTATTTTTCTCTATACAGTATAGTCCATTAAATAGAGGTTTTAATGTACTGTACATTGTTTGAGACGAAGAGGAAAAATTATGTTGGTAGTGTTACTTGGTATGTCAATTGAGTGTATATATTTTAAAATTAGCAGAAAATTAAGAGTTATTCAGTGTTCATGAAAGAAAATTTAAGTTGAATAAGAGGAGTCTTTATGTATAGCCATTTCCTAATTGAGTAGGATAAATGGAATTCTCAGATACAGTTTCCTTTCATATTTATTTGGCAGTAATTTTCTTCATATGAGCAAAATAGTCTTCCTCTGTATTTTATCTTATATGAACTGCTTAATGAATCTCCATAAATTCAGGCTAGATACATTTTCTTGGTGAAAGAAAGATGGTATGGACACATGCAGTATATATGGATCAGAGCTGTGGCCACTGCATACATCTGCCTTAACAGAACCATCCAGTAACCTGACATGTCCTCTACTTTCAACAAATTTGTATCCACCTTCAGGCAAAATGACAACACAAGATTAATATATCCGTAATTTTCTTTGTTCATCAATTAAAAATATGTTTAACTGTGCTGATGTTCTTACTTACAAGCACATCAAAGTCCCTATATATTTAATCTTAAACTTACTCACATCGTAAGAATGTTTAGTGAGTAAAGCTGGGAAGTGCTGCAAGGTTGATCTTCTGCCTTCATGTGAGAGCCGTGTTGTCAGGATGAGTCCTCTAGTTCGTATTAATTGTTTTCTGGCAAATAATACCTGGCAGTTATATTAGCCAGTAGGAAAAAATGTAGTTTTTGACCAACTTTATTTTTGCTATACGTAGGCTCGTGTGATAATGCCGGTATTAACCCCTTCTCTATGGGGATGCCACTTTTAATATTTTATTTGGTGAACACTGGACAATTTTATTCAATTCAGAGGCACCTCGTACACAAGGGGCTAATAACCTCATTCTCTTATACCAAAATAACCTCTTTGTTATAGACACTCATTCAATAACACTGAATCTGTGTCATGTTACTGAATACTCTGGTGAGGAAGGTGCATGTGGCAGGTATTTTGACCATCTTAGAATATCATATACGGCTATACAGTATTTGTACATCATTTTAATCTTTTTTTTCTTTTAGTACTGTATATACGTATTGAGAAAGCCTCAAGCTTGCTAGAAGGGTACTGCTTATAATATTTATGATAGATAAACCATCCCAAGCAAGAATGAAAGGATTCTACCACATTTGAGAACTGTTTCTATTGTTCATCAAGTGCATGATAATCAAATAGGAGTTATGTATTTTGTACTGTATATTAAACTTCTTCATCACCATAAATATATATTGTAGATTAATTTCAAAATTTGAGTGAAGGAAGAATACAGTACTGTATACTGTATTGTGTAGTTTTTTATATGTGTCAGAAAATACCGAGTTATTTTTTTCTCAGAGAGGATGTAGTGTATTGCAAAGAGGAAAGAATAGAAAATTGGAATTTACATGTCCAGTACTATATACTGTACAGGTATTTGAAAATTTCTTTGCTGTGCCAACAAAGACTGTACTTTACTGTACTGTACTGTACTGTACTGAATGATACAATACATTATTTAAAGTTCACAGAGGAATGTAAACTGCTGGCGTTCTTGTACTCATATGATTTAATTTAAATACAGGTAGTAAATAAACACACTAATACTGTACAGTATTTGTAAAATTTGGGAACTGTTGTCAAAGGTTGTGGGTTTAGGTGCAAGGAAAGAATATTTCTCAGAAATATTTGGCAAATCATAGGAAATTTCAAATGCACAATACTGTAATAAGGAATTGTTGCACATGAATACAAAACTGGAACCAACTGCAGTTCACTGTAAGGCAAGTCATGAATATTCTAAGAATTTGATACCAAGAAAATTAACACCAATAGCATAAAAATTGCTGAAGCACTGTTACAGCTTTCACCTGTGTGTATTAATTCCCTTGTACAGTGAATTCTGCTATAACGTGTGTTTTGACAACGCGAATTGGCTCTAACGCGATTTATGAATAGAGGAACGAACGATATTTGTATAACGCGAACGCTTGTTTGCTGTAACGCGATTTTTGCTTTCTATTTCTCCAATTTTGTGGTATTAACTGTGAATATGGTAAAGAAGAATATCTCCAAGAAGCGTTCTGGTGATCGAATTCCCGGTGATGATCATAAGAGAAAGGCTATAACCCTTGAAGAGAAGCTTGATGTTATCTACCTCAAAATCACCCTTCTGCCCCATCAAGTTATATTCATATTTTTTCAAGGTAAAGTGTTACATTTACTGTATGATTTCACTATTAGATATGAATGTAACATTTATTTAGACTGTGCTATCCTTTGTGTTAGGCTAACTACTAAATTTGTTTCGATTTCGAGTAGTAATCTGCACCTAACCCTATTTTCTCCATAAGCCCTGTTATTTCTATTACACGAATTTCTATAACACGATGTTTTACAAGAACACAACTATCGCGTTATAGCAGAACTGACTGTACATTATATGAATTTGTACATTTTCTGGTGAGAGCTGAATTAATTGCAGTGATTTCTTTCAGCAAGTTAGGGGATAAGAATCATGGAGAGCAAGTAAAAGAGAAGCCTGGGTCACAAAGTTATGAAATTAAGAAGGTTTTGCAGATTTATTTGTTCAAGTGATGATATGAACAAGTGACAGAGGATTAGAGGGTATAATTGTGAAGTAAGATATTATTTATATAAAGGTACAGTATTTATAATATGTGAATGAGAGATTTATTATCAAGATTTTACGTCTTCTGTTTGTAATGCTTCAATATTTGACTTGGATTATCCTATGAGATACAAACTTAGACATTAGTTATATAGTTTAAGAATATTTTGTAATGTTGGATTCACCTGTTCCTAGAGAAATTGATCCATGTGGCATTGGTTATTTCTAAAAATTTATTTCAAGTGCCACTCCACCCCAGGGTCAGGAGAGTCCTTGTATATCTGTCTGCTAATATAAATATATATATTAGCTATCTGCTTCTGTGATCACACTGCTCCTTTTTGCCATTATAAGACAACTGTATCCACGTCAATGAAATTTTCACCCAAGTACAGTGAACCCTCGAAGATCCGGACTAAAAGGGGGGACCACCAGTCCGGAAAAGCCGATTGTCCGGATTTTCAGACAAATAATAAATGATATAAGAAACACCAAAAATACAGTACTAATGTAGTGATAAACAAATTACTGTATATACACCATGCATTTACCTATGATAACATAATAAGAAACATTGTATCATTACTAGAGTGAATGAAATAATCTTCCCACAAACAATTGTTTCCCACCTCCTCGGGCACCTGTGTCCAAGCAACTGACGGGTCAAGCAGCGCCCACGGGCCTGAGATCTTCTTTGCTCTGGTTTGGGAGTGTTTCTTAGGGAAACTTCTAGGAGGCTTCTTAGCCTAGAACCCCAAAATCCGAATTTCTCGGGTCCGGATCTTCGAGGGTTTACTGTATTCTGGTTTGATAGGATTATTATTTGAAGGTTTTATACACTCAAGAAAAGGAATATTCTGACAGCTTCACCTGTTTGGTGTAAGGTGCTACTTCAGTTAGTGCCTTGTAATTTCCCATATTTCCTATTTTTTGCCTTTCTTTCTTTTTGTGGAAATATTCATAACATTTTTACTAGGAGAGAAGTCCTGATTTTTATCATTGAATGAGGTTTCTCTGCTAGAGAAGGAAACCCCAATACACTACTTCCAAATTTCCATCATATTATGATGCATTTAATACATTTAGGAAATTAAAAGGTTTCAGCTACAAAATACATTTGGCCATTTTTACTATGCCTCAGGCAGGCACTCTAATACTGTATAATGTAAGGTGGGTCCTTCTTACCCAGTTGTGGATTTACATTTCCTGGATATTATTAAAACCTTAATATACAAAAATCAGAGATTACCTGTTTACTATGTGCTTCTCTTCTAACTGTGGAAAAAATCAGGTATTCTTAAACTGATAATCATATTGATAAATTCTCTTTATGAAGAGTGATGTTAACACTACCAGTCAAATTGGAAAGTTGATATACACTTGTATCCCTACTAAAGTGTCTTGATATATTGGTAAATAAATTAACAAATTATGATTATATGTTGAGGTTTTTACCCTATATGATACACACAAAATCTTCCTCGTGAAGTTGGGAATAACTTGCTGTAAACTAACAAGTACTGTACAAAGAGAACAGGAAATATTGTACCTCAATTGGCGAGTCATAAGCAAGACTTTAGTTGAAAGATTTAGGTGGATAGATTAAGAATGTTTTATGTACAGTATACAGTACTGTATACAGTACATAAACATTTGATCACATGCAGTTTGTTAGGACAGTGCAACCCTTCTTTACCTGAGTTACTGTAGGTATCACCCTATGCAGTACCTGGATATCCTATTGTATACTGTAAAATGTCTGCTGACTTGTTTCTCATGCCAGTGTTGTGCACATCATATAATTATAATCTATGGTTTAAATTCATCTCATTTATCATTAAGTTTGCCCCCTTTCTTTTTCTCTCTTCCAGACACCTGTTTTACAGTCAGTATCTTAAAAATGGCTGAATCACATCAATTGAAGCTCAGAAGATAATTTCATTTGCTACTGATAATTGTTGGATAATACTTGTAATGTACTGAGATAATTTATGCAATGTTGATATTAATTGGATAATGTTGATTGCATGTTGAAAAATGTTTAATGTATGGATAATTGTTGATGTAGGATAATGGCGACCACATGTAGGATAATAAAGACAATGATGATCAGAGCATGAGTCATCGCCCACATCTAACTCACTCCTTGTAACTTAATAAGTTCTTGGCACATTTGTCTTCCATTCATTCTAATTATTATAGGCCAATACAGTACTCAATCATAATTTACATAGGGTAAAGAGGCCTATTTAAAACAAAAATAGTTTATTATGGATATGACTATTATAAATACCAGTATATATCATTAATAATATTTTGTATACATATGTTCTTTTTAACATTTTTAAGATTTGTAAAACATTTCCATAAACTGAAATGTGGGCACAACATGGATATATTTACCAACATCATTTGATGAAGGCTTCGTGTACTGAGTGTATTTTTAATCTACCTCTACACATTGACACTGCAGAGTTACCCCATTGTGAAGCCTTCATAGAAAATTAAGAAAATAAAAAATAAAAGTACATTTTCCCATCGACTCCCATTATAAAAGCCGAGATACTGTACGTTCCTAAAACAAAGAAAAACATAACGTCTTAGAATGCTACAAAACATGTTTTTAACAAAAATATTTGCTGTAAAGTACTGTACACTCAGTAAAAAAATCTATCTTTACAATTATTGTGCAAAACAAAATGACACCACAAACAGAGGTTTTTGATAAAGGCCCATGAGGCATACCTCGCATGGGTAGTGAGACAACACGAGTGTTCAGTTCATCGGACCCCTACTGAAAGATACTATTTTTACTGAGTACAGAATGATTTTATGCTAATACAGTAATAAACATCAGTGAAATACTGTACATGCTGTAAAGTAACTGGTGGTGTGAGTGAGGAGTGGAATTGTCCACACAAGTTTGATGAATAAGCTTAGTTGTAGACTTAATAACACTGTGAGAGTTAGAGATTAATGAAATAAGTTAGTGAAACAAATAACCAAACTGGAAGTGAAAAAACTACATTATTTTAGCATATTTTCATAATCATTAATTTAATTATTAAAAACTACAGTATGTATAGGGTTTTGGCTTGTTAATCAAAGCATGGGACAATTTTTTGGTTTTGTTTTGTAAATGCAAATTTTAGTAAATCAAATCCTCATAAGTCAGGGTCTGCCTGTACTTGTACAACCCTGTAGTTTAAAGACACAAAGTTTTAAAATACCACTTGAGTAACTTTATAGAAATGGAATGTTTTTCACTGGTAGGTTTGTGGAGTTGTCTTTGAATGTGCCCTTTGGGGGCACACAGAGAATGTTTTTGTGTTGAAAGAAGATCATTCATCCATCTGTTCTCTTTAATTGGTGTGGATAACCTTCATGTTTTGGAACTGGTGCATCAACTGGTGGGAGGAGGTGGGACAGTGAGGGAAGAGTTGGTCACAATCACCACCATCATGACCAAGGTTGAGCGCCACCTGGTAGGCATTCAGGCCACTCCACTCTCCCTTGGTGGTGGTCACAGCCTTCCCAGACACCGTGCTGTTGAAAAAGTCAGGTCAGGACAAACTAGTGTTTTCATATACAGTAGTTGTTAATTAGTACATGTTTGTAAGATTAAGCTCCATTTTCATATGAGCCCAGGGATGAAAGAGATCTTGCTCATGATATATAATATGAAACCATCTCTAAAGTGCCTGGCAAAAATGAGGGATATTTTAAATCCTCTTTCTGCCAGAGGTTAGCAATACAAATGGATGCAAATGCTCATTTGTTTAAAACTACTGGGCAGAATGTAAAATTTTTTCCAAAGAATTATGGTGATGATGATGATCCCAGACTGGTAACATTAGCTCAACATTTTCTTTAAAAGAAGACAAGCTAACAAAGTTAAGAGGGAGGGATTTTGGAAGAAGTATAAAAAAATAACGTGATTGGAAAAAGTTGCCAAAATTGGACTTGGCATTACATGTTTGACGCTAAAAGTAAGATTGTGCGTTTTCAGATTGGATATATCAGTAGGTCTACTCACACTTATCACATAATCAGAGGCACATCTAACAACACATGTCATTCTGTTTGTGTACACATGATACTGGAAACCACAGGAGTCTTATGTTGATGAGATTCCCAGGTAACTGTAACCTATACTGTAGTTTGAAATATTCAGTATTCCCCCAAGTGGAGGTCTTACCTGAGGACATTGTAAAGGCTCTTTGCATGGCCAGCAAGGGAGGAGGCAGGTTTATTTCCTATGATACAAGTTAACTGTAAACTGCACCCTGTAGCATCCTTTTCCAGTGCCATCTGGAAGAGTTGTTCCACCAGCGGGTCGAGCTCGTTCTCTGGCTCAGCTTGGCGGCGGAAACGACCACCAGGGAAGGGTGAGTACAAGTCGTTGCGGTAGTAGTTACTGAGGGTGGGGCATAAGTAGAGTATTGGTCTCAGAGAAGGGAGATGTGGCTGAGGTTATGAAGAACTGAAAGGTTATGTTTTGTTTGATGTAAAAGTTACTGGAATGTGCACACCCACATGTGAAGTATTGCTCTAACAAATGATCTTGTTGCTGTATCAGCAGACACTAATTTAAGTTAACCTGACACAAATTAACCCAGTGTAATGCTTCTCAACTTCCTTGAAAAGATCAGAGCACTGTGCCTTAATCCAATATGCTCAATAATAATAATAATAACAACAACAATGATGATGATGATAGTAGTGCTACAGTAGTACTGTACATGTAATTGTACAGTATAAGTATTGTAAAATATGTTACTTACGGAGGGTACCTGTATCTGTTTTGCTGAGTAGCTGCATGCTTGCGGCCAAAGTGATACCCAGCACCCACAGCCAGCAGTCCCACGCCCAGGGTGAAGAGAGCATTGTTGTTGACTTGTACCCCTAAATTCTGGGGCTTTGCTGTCACTGTCACCAAGACCAACACCACCACCACCATCATCACTAACTGACTCCACTGCATCTGTTGATAAAGAGGTAGAGTACAGTAGTTACAATTTCACTCCACAAATAATACACCAAGCCTCTATTATTTCTTCTTTTAAGTATAACCAGCATGACACTAGGCAGATACTGTAATTGTGGCCATTTTGAAGGAGGAAGAGAAACAGAAAAAAGTTGGTCCACACTAATGTTTCTCTCTATCCAAGTACTGTATATGTACAAAATATGCTTTTTTGTTTGGTAACATTTTGTTTATCATTTTGCCACACAACCACCTCCCTGCACACAGTCCCTGTATATACCTGTAGTTTGTCATCTCTGTCATTTTAACTCCTTCAGTCATTATTGTTACATGCTGTGTGAAGTTTTCTTGTTACAGTACTACTTTATCCTCCTCACCACTGGTCAGCTCTTTAGCCAATTGGCCTGGTCATTTCTCTATTATGCAGTACTGGGCATCATGCCCAGTACTGGCTCCAGAATGTATCTATACCTGGGCCAGTGATGGTCGAGTCTATTCTTGAATGGTCTCACACTTGGTGTTCTCATAACTCTGCTTGGAAGATTATTCCAAGAATTAACAACTCTCACTCCAAAAAAGTTAACTCTAACAATGTTCTGTATACTTGTGGGGTTGGGGCTTCTTTAACCTGAGGCTGTGACTTTCACTGGGGTGGACATCTGCTAACTCCAGATATAACACTAAACCGAGTACTGCCCTCTGAGGTGCTAATAAATCACCCTTGCCTATCAATTGTATAAGCTAGGCAACTGCAGGTGTTCTAATCTCACTTGATCCGTGAGGTGCTGGGGTGAGGGCACCAATTTGGTGGCTCTCCTTTGGACGTTCTCAATCAATTGGCAGTCTCTTAACATATCGGTGGGGGGGGGGGGATGACAGTACAGTACTCATAAGTGGGGGACGAACTCACCTTTGAAGAGTATGCATACTATCTTTGTGTAAGCCCCTTTGAAGTTTCACTACTCCTGAAGTCACTAGAGACCTTCCTGTAGTGCTTCACAGTCTGTTGGGTTCTTAATCTCCCAGAATAACTTAGTGTCATCCACAAGCATTTATCTGAATAGCATGACATTCATTTCTAATACAAACAAACAAACAACGCTCCCAGCACACTTCCCTGTGGCACAGTGACAATATGATCTACACACGATAGAGATAAGCACATAAAAAAGTTACACAACCGGCCACTACCATATTCAAACCAGAGTTTTATAATATAAAACCTTATTATTGTCCACCCTCACCTGCCTCATCTAACTGCTAGTTAGTATGGATAATGGGTGAGGGTGGAAGGTAGCTGTGAGGGTAGGGAAGGAGGATGAGAGTCATATACCGTGAAGGTTGTGAGGCCTTAATTATGGCTCAGTAATGCGAGATGGTGATGTACATGTTAATACACATAAGGTTGTTTTCACTTTCGTTTATATTTCATAGATCACTAGGCAGGTAAACAAGTGACATGAGCTGCTGGAAGGGCAACAGAGGTCACTTGTTTGATTGTTACGAAACTTTTCCTATAAAATGAAATATTCCTTAAATTGGTGACAAAAATCGATTTGATGGAAAAAAAATCAAAGTGAACTTAAGAGATAAAGAGAGAGCCAAGGGCAAGCTAAGGCTGATGGAATGTCAAGGCTGAGGATTACACTATTGGAACTAAGTAACTACACCTTATTTTCATAAAGGCTGTTAGTCAGTGCCCATTATCAAATAGTACTCCATTATGGAATCTCTTTGTTACATCGTAAAAATCCGTTGTCATCCCATTAATTACTGGTTTCATGAAGCCAGTCAGTCAGCCCCTGCTCTGAGGAACAGTGATTTGCAAACTTCAGTGATGAAATTTCGATTGGTCAAGATTACAGACTGTGTGGGTTGGACTATGTACAAATGTTGCGTGAGTGAGGGATGTCAAGGCTACTGTTGCGTATTACATGACAGTATTTGAGAAAGGCGCCTGACGTTTAGTTACCTTTATTATAAGATAAATTAACGTTAAAATTAATCCAGAACTCTGTTAAGTAAATGTTGGTAAACAATGTAAGTTTTATCTAAAGAAAAAACGTGACGTATGGGAGCTTTCACATATCTGTTAAAGACGTAAGACTTTAGCTAATTTTCTCCTTTATTAGGTGGAAATGGAATTTTAAAAAGTCAGATTTGCACGCGAGACTGTTGTAACTAACTGCATATCCTTATTCGTGGTTCAGAACAAAAAACAACAAGCACATCTCTCTGAATCCTGACCAATCACCCAATTCAAAATACAGTACGAGGCAAGTACAGCACATGTTTCCTGCTGGTTGTGTACTGAGGGCATCTCAGCGTAACGTGAGTCATTGTGGTGGTGGTGGTGGTTGTGTGGACTGCTGTAAGTGCTGTCTCCTGACGACTGATGCAATGATGGCCCAGAGCGTGGCCTCCATACTTTTATATTTTTGTATTCACTCTCCTCTCTCCTCAGTGTGTGATGTACAATGGATAATGTGCCGGACATTCTCTTTTCAGTTGTTTGTCTCCTGTAAGTAGTACATTAACTTTGTATATGTGTGTGTATATATGGATTAATTTATTCTTTTTATAATGTAAAAGGGATCGAAAGCTGGTGGTACAGCGGAAGGGCACTTGCTTCTCACCACCACCACCACCACCTCGAGACAGATGTAAAAAGGATGTTATCCATTGTAGTCCTATCAAACTTAACAGGTTGTATCAGGATACTCTGGTTTCCTCCCGTGCTGATGAGTGGTAGAAATAATAAATACAATAATAATAAAACGAATTTGGCTAATATATAATTGTTTACGGTCAAAATAAGTTATTCATTTTCTATTAAAGCGCTGTCAAAGAAAACGGATTAATAAAAGTTAAATAGTGTACTGTAATTGTATCTTATTAGATGTACGAGTATGTACACCGTAACAATGTACAGTAAAATTAAGACATAAAAATTTATTGCAAAATTGAAATGCCAACAAATAAGTAAACGACCCCAGCATTTCACAATACTGTACTGGGCAGCCATACCTGTTTACAATGAGTGTCGCGAATACATTGGCTAAGCTTCCCTCGCTCACTCCTCGCGGGTTGTTTGCAATGATAGAGTTAGTTGCTTGTTGCTGTTTGGATCACTTTTGGTTTTATCTTGTCACAAGCGTCAGTCAGGGTATTTCCTCACCAGGGTGTTACTAAATCAGTGGCTGACGAAGCACTTACACCACAAATACACTGACATTACGTAAATTAAAGACGAGGAGTAAATAACAATAATCTCATGCTACGTCAGCACTTTTAATGTATTAAAATTAAGCAATATCGTAAAAGTTAAAACATATTAGTTGATGGAAGATGAATTATTATTTATGTAATTTTTGTAGGTAGATTAAAAGATTACAGTTTTGTTGATTAGGGAGACGTAACAATTCTTGTCCGTGTTATTGTGTAGGAGGACAATGACACTACTATCACTACTACTTTGCTGTCACTCTGAATCGAGTATGACGATCATCCAGCTATGATACAATGATATGAGTTATTAAGGATGTCACCTAGGTTGGTGAGTTTTGAAGTGACTAAAGAGGCCGATACGGGACCCGCAGGGTCGTCCACATTCGTTGAACATGTGGAGGGATGCATCTAGTGCGGGGAGGGCGATGGCGTTGGCGCTTGTCTGCCTCGGTTTGCAGTCGGGCTAACTCGAAAGTATTGACACCTTCTCATGTGGTGCTCCTCCAAGCGTTACGATGTGGAGTAATCGACTCCCAGGTGAGGGGGTCGATTTGGCACTTTTTCAGGTTGGGTCTTAAGACTTTCCTTATACCTTTTCAATTGCCCGCCGGCGTTACGTTTACTATTCGTTAGGTGACTGTAAAGTAACTGCTTTGGCAGTCTACTGTCGTCCACGCGGGGGGTAACATGGCCAGTCCAGAGTAGCTGTTCATGGATAATGGTAGCCTCGATGCTCCTACAATGACACACACACACACTGCCGTAACTTTCAGCCTATCTCAGGTAACATTTCTGTGAGTTTAGCGGTCACTCCAGCGATTCTCAAGACTTACACCTATGGGAAGGGAAGGCACTGATAGCATATTGAGTAAGGTAGATCTATGACTCGTGATGTTCAGTGTTGCAAGGAGATTTATGTGGGTAACTGAGAGTGGGAACAGTACTTGTTTTACCTGTGTGGTGATGTTTGGTGAGATTGACCCTGTGTGGTGGTCATGGTGGTGTGATTGACATTGTGTGGTGGTCATGATGGTGATGTATAGTGTAGGTTTACTTTGTGTGGTGGTCATGATGGTGATGTATGGTGAGGTTTACCTTGTGTGTCGGCCATGGTATACTGTAGTTAGACTTATCTTATGAAATTAATAATAATGTTTTGACTACCCGGGTGTTACGTCGTGAGGACCTTAGAAAATGTGCAAACAGACCTAATTTTGAGGTCAGGAAGCATACGAGTGGAATTGCATCGAAGACCAATGTTAATATAAGCGTTTTTTTTTTAATCTGCGTTTTAAGAATTTTCTAAGTTCCCTCTGCTGGGATTCAAAGTTAGGCTAGACTGTCAAATTACGCAGGTCCCGGTAAAGCACACACAACCTTACGTTAGATTTCCAAACATGCAGGTTTCACTGTGAGCACAACACTACCATATACCTCTGTGGTCGTGGGGTGAGTGTGTGTCGATCACAAAAGTTTGGATTAGACTGTCTTCTACGAGGCGGTTCATCCGGTATATATGTGTTGGCGCCCGAGTGAAAGTTCTCCCACCCTTGAAATCGTTCGTACACAGTGGCAGCCGCGGACCCCAACCCAAACCTTATATTGTACTATAGACGGAGCCAAATTTTCCCCTTGTTAGTTTGATAACTTCCCGACCACAAATTTGATTTAACTTTTAGAATTATATATTATGAAGATGTTCTTATAAATTTCCGAGAAGATTTGAGCATAGATCTGGCGCCAGAGATCAGAAGGACATCGTTATAAGAAACTTGTAACACGGAAATAGGAAGCAAGGAAATACATTAATCACATGGGTAAGGAAACAACTCCTTACCGGACAAACCCTCAGACAGCTGGACCTCCCCTGCCGCCCCACCCACTCCTGCGTCCTTCACAGTACTCAACAAACTACGTCACCAGCCGAGTATGGGAAAACTGTGATATTTAATACTAATAGTTTTTAGTTGTCAACGGAAAGGCTGAAGTTCGGGCGTGTTACATGAGTACTGTACTGTATCTGAGAGTTTTGATAAATTTTATCCTTTGTTTGTGAAATTACAGGCAACGAAAAATATATAAACATATTTCCGGTGACTTTAACACTGATTTAGTAAGAAATAATAACATGACAAAAGACTTTATTACAGTAGTGTGGCGTCACCGCGTCTACCTGAGCATCACCCAGCCTTCACGAGTGACCACAGCCACTTCCACCATAATGACCACAAACACACACATTTTCCTCACGCTGGGGCTGTATAAACTGTGTCAAGTTACTTCCTTTTCTCTTCAACATTATCCCGAGGCAGGATAGTTGTGTTTCAATCTCCGCAGTTGAACATCTCATTTGTTTGTTTCGAAGCTTTAGGACTCGTGATCCATACCTTTACCTCAGGAGAGTCCAGGTTATCGCCTCCTTCAGAGTGAACTGTATCTCCCGGGCAAACGTGTGGACGATGATGGCAGGACCCAGCAAACTGTGTTGTTATTTACGTGAAGGAAGAACAGGAAACGAGGAACACACAACACCACTTATAACTTCCTGTAGATGTAGGTCTTGATCCAGGTTGTCCTTCACTCATCTAATATGAATGGAAATTAGATAATAATGTTCCTTTAATGTTCCTTTATTTCCCAGCAATTTCCTCCTCAACTTTACCTAATTACGCCGGGATTGCGTCACAGGATGTTGGACTTGTGTTGTGTTACTGTGAGTGTCGTGTGTCACTGTGATCTGCCCCCCCGAGACTGAGACTGATGCACCATGGTAGCTGAGTGATAAATTGAAGATTATCCTGTCTGTCCTGTTGTGCTAGATGCCAGGAACAACCCGGCCATGCATACAGTAACTACGGGGTATTGTACTGCAGATGTGCAAGATGATACGTGTATATCTTGTTCCGATCTAGGGGAGGGGGTATGCGGTGTGGTGTACTCGTGGAATATAAGTGATTCTCCAAAACCATCTCTGGTTGTGGGTGGTGTTGTGGTAGGGAAAGGTGATACGAAAAGTCAGAGATTGGATGATGATCATTCTAGTGTGTAGGGTTCATCCATTACTAATTTAATTGATAAAATATAATCGCAGCATTATTTGACGAGCATTTCCTTATGTTGGTAAAATATGATAGATAATTGGAATGAAGAGGTGTGTCAGTATTTTGCTAACTAATTATATTTTGAATTGATAACGGAGAATGTTTACATATTGTGAAGTTCGTATTTGTGTTCATAGTGCAAAGACAACAACCAACTGATAGTCCAAACACCTCGCTTATTAACCCCGCCCACTGATGACGTCATTACCGAAACACCAATACTCGGCTTCGAACACTGAAACAATTCTCTCGAGGATTTTAAGTAATTAAGCTTTATTAAGTTAATTGGTTAGTTATTATTACTTCAGGTAGTTATTGTCTCGTTGTCGGTTCAGTTATAATGTATAAATGTTGGTTATTAAAATGGGATTATGAAGGTTGATGGTTCAGTATGGGGGAGTCGAGGCCTCAGTCATCCGCCACAACGAACGTGTGACAGAGATTATTTTGGAGCGGTCACACGCCAGGGAATGTTAGTTTGTGTTTTCTGCTGCTGCTGCTGGGTGAACGCTACTGTTGTTGAAGGATACTTGCTTGCTGATGGACTACTGCTTCCAGTCGGGTGACGCTGATGGGTGCTGACGTAGACGACCGGGTAACGGGTAAAGTTCCACCAAATTCGATAGTGTTCTAGGGAATTGATAAGGCTGTTTACTCGAACTTTACAACCGAGGTCTAGGGTCAGATTGTAGCATGGCAGTTTGATTGTATGGCGGACAGACACACGGCGCCATAGCGTTTCTTTATATAACTTAACGTAATTGATATTTTAAGGGATAATAATTTGATGATCTCTTGCTAATTTACGTACTTGGGGAAGCAAAAATTAGCTGTTGTGTAACTTTCTGCGTGCCATTCGGCGGTGAGGAGTGTAGGTCCCCGAGTTTGTTCATTAATGTTCGTGCTCCCTCGAATTCTTGTTCTCGAAACCGGATACAAATAAAGTCTGTCCACATCAATTTTGGTCATTTCTGCCCCATCGTAACCTAACCTTCAATGGATTCTTTTCATATAACTTAAATATTACCAAAGAATATTATTCTTGTTGTGAGCAATAAGGGAATTTATCTACGTGTTAAAGGGATTTTGACGATTTAAACTGTCAGGGTTGTGGACTTAAAACCAGAGTATTAGCTTCCAGACGCCCCTGTGTAGTCGACCCGTCTGATACTGTTAAATTTAATTATTCTGATACAGTAATGTACTTTGGGTGATCGATCTTGATGATAGTTAGACGATAGTTCAGGTTAATTTTGATTGCGTGTTATCTGCTTAAAATGTCACTTGTTCCACCGTTATATTATTGTACTTTCTGCCTTAAGTTCCGGGGGTTCAAACTTAATGATATAGACCATTGAATCTATAAACTACAGTAAACAAAATTCCAACTATAGAGGCATCAAACTTAAGTGTTAGTGTGATGAGGTTGACGAGGGTGTAGCCACTAAGAGCTCTTTAATGATCTTATTAATCAAAGGTTTGACTTGCACTACAGCACAGGTTATTAGATTGTCGTAACTCTTAATCGTGGTGACTTGTTCAGATTCGCACCGCCATCTTGGAATGTCGTTAATCCATCCATCCGTATTCATTGTAAATTCACTACTAGGGCCCGAAAAATAAGAATTAAACTAAAAAAAAGTTATTCTCATGTGACCCGGCCAAGCTTGTGGGGGGTAGACGAGATGTTATGTTGTCCGGAAGAGTCTAGGTACTACAGTGGACTTGTCTCTGGAGATGAAGAGTAGGACAGTTGTTGGCGTGGTTAGGCCTGAAGTATAGGTATGTTTGGAATGTGGTTCCGGCAGCCTACAACACTAGTCTGGGTGTGTACGGAGTAGTTCACTAGACAGGATTTGAGGAACCATAAGAGTTTTACCCAAGTGAAGATAAGAATGGTTGGTATGACATTACGTCAGGTGTACTATAGAGAAGTCATTCCGACGGACAAACTGTTGCAGTATTTCATGAGTGGAAATACACGAGTCTCCCCTATAGTTCAATTCCTCCAGAGAAAATTGGTAGAAAACGACAAAACAAGGAATTTATAAACACGCTATGAAAGTTGCTCGTTAAATTTAATTCACAAATGAATTGTTACAAACATTTGTCACAACTTGTATGATAAAGGAAAAAATCCTGTTGCAGGAGAACGGTGATGTGAAGAGGCGTCAAGAGTGGAGGAGTCCTGTACCAGCTGAGAGGGAATCTGCTGCCTGGGGAGTAGGTTACATGACAAGGTGAATCCTTTAAACTATTTTAGGAGTTTTAAATGGGACTTACTTAATTAAACTGCGTACTTAATTTAACTGCGTTCTCAAAGTAATTTCATTGAATATTCTAGAAATTATCTTCGAAGATAGTTTTTGGAATTTTAAACTTAATTCATTGCCGTTATTAAATTGAACTTAAAAATAGCTCCTTATATATTCCGAGTTGGAGGACGCGAGTCAGGTTTGTGGATTCTTTCTTTAGGCATCTTAGACCAAGATTTGTTCTCGATATATTAGTAACTTTAAATATTTAAAATACTTTGAAGAACTGTTAAATTACCTTTTTAGAGTTTGTTGAAGGTATCAAGTTCTGTTTTAAAGTAATATTTTCATAATTTTAATTTGTATTTTGTTAATAGTTTTGGCGAGTTTTTAAAATCCACTTTGTGAACACTATTGACCCAGGACTATCTTGTCTTGTCATCCATTTAACTTTCATTTCTCTTAATAGGAAAAAGAAGATACACTAGTCCTCCAGTTGCACGTCCGAGGCAGACATCAACGCCATTGTGACAAGTTTCCTGGCATCCAGTTACACGCTTGAGGTCGCCATGCTGTCGTCTACGCCATTGTGACCGTTTCCTGGCATCCAGTTACACGCTCGAGGTCGCCATGCTGTCGTCTACGCCATTGTGACCGTTTCCTGGCATCCAGTTACACGCTTGAGGTCGCCATGCTGTCGTCTACGCCATTGTGACCGTTTCCTGGCATCCAGTTACACGCTCGAGGTCGCCATGCTGTCGTCTACGCCATTGTGACCGTTTCCTGGCATCCAGTTACACGCTCGAGGTCGCCATGCTGTCGTCTACGCCACTGACAGTTTCCTGGCATCCAGTTAATCTCCATCACCGGCCTTGGACCTGATCTCTCCAGTTTTCATAGACCTTAACACGCGTTCTCACTTCACAAGAAGCACTCCAGTAAATCTTGGCCACCAGACCAAAAGCGGCTTTTAGGCTTTTGTTATGTAATCCGAAAACATTTTTGCAATCTTTTTTAATTATAACTTGATATTTAAATCTTACTATTAAATTAACTTTATTTAAACTTTTGGAAATTTCTCAGATTTTAATTAAATTTTATTAATTTTCAATAAATTATCTGAAAAAATTGGTCAATTTTTTTTTTGCCGTTTATAGACTATCTCGATTGCCTTGTTTGAAGTGTCCAGTTTACACATCGAACTTTTTTCCTAAAATCTAAGTAAAACTCTTTACATAGGAAGGAAAAAATTTATTTTTAAATATTAATTTTTTTTTTGTAAAGTACAGCTTTTACAATTTTTTTTACAAACAAGATATGAGAAGTCACTCACTACATGCAAGTTGTAAAGATGTAATTACTTCAAAAAGCATAATATTTACTAGTATTCTGTATTGACACGAAAAAGCAAAAATATTGTTACATATGAAGATAGAACTAAAGTACACAACATTGGTGAACCGAGAAGTAATGGATTGTGATGTAGGTTTTATCTTGGAGTTTTTTCTCTGGTTATTGTTGTACAAAACATCAAACCAGTGAAGATCAAAACTTCCTACTTCACAACCAATCACTGATCTCAGTTGACCAATGTTGTGTAGCGTAACTTCATCTTCTACAATATTTTACCCTTTCCTGTCAACGAAATGCTTGTGAAGAATTTATTGCAATTTAAAGTAATTATTACATCTTTACAACAAACCTACAATGAATGTCACAGGTTTTTTGTATTCTGAGTATAATAAATAGGCAAAAGACACCTTAGAGCCCCCATTGGTGTATTACAACAGTCGCAAGCCCTAGCAGCCTACTCCATTGGTGGGGCAGACCATAAGGACAGTGACACCACTAGCAGCTTAACCCATTGGTGGGACTGAATACTTCTTTACAATGGTTGAATTAAACATTATGTAGTCAAACTTGATCCTTAGTGACAAGGTCCACTTACTAAGAGATTATAACATTGTACAATAAAGTCTAATCCATATTAAGATAATCAATAAGTCCATCCCTCTTATAAGCATCTAAGCAAGCAAGTCCTACACAACACAGTAGGCAAGTCCTTACACGAAACAACAAGCAAGTCCTTCCCCCACTCCTACACAGCAAGCAAGTCCTTCCCCCACTCCTACGCAGCAAGCAAGTCCTTCCCCTCTCCTACACAACACAGTCAGCAAGTCCTTCCCCCACTCCTACACAGCAAGCAAGTCCTTCCCCCACTCCTACACAGCAAGCAAGTCCTTCCCCCACTCCTACACAGCAAGCAAGTCCTTCCCCACTCCTACACAGCAAGCAAGTCCTTCCCCCACTCCTACACAGCAAGCAAGTCCTTCCCCACTCCTACACAACAAGCAGTTCCTTCCCCACTCCTACAAGCAAGTCCTTCCCCACTTACAGCAAGTCCTTCCCCACTCCTACACGGCAAGCAAGTCCTTCCCCCACTCCTGCACGGCAAGCAAGTCCTTCCCCACTCCTACACAGCAAGCAAGTCCTTCCCCACTCCTACACAGCAAGCAACACTCCTACACAGCAAGCAAGTCCTTCCTCCACTCCTACACAACAAGCAAGTCCTTCCCCACTCCTACACAACAAGCAAGTCCTTCCCCCACTCCTACACAACACAGTCAGTAAGTCCTTCCCCACTCTTCCACAACACAGTTGCAAGCAAGTCCTTCCCCAACTCCTACACGGCAAGCAAGTCCTTCCCCACTCCTACACGGCAAGCAAGTCCTTCCCCACTCCCAGCAAACAGTCCTTCCCCACAGCAAGCAAGTCCTTCCCCACTCCTACACAGCAAGCAAGTCCTCCCACTCCTAGCAACAAGTCCCCCACTCCTACACAACAAGCAAGTCCTTCCCCCACCCTACACAACAAGCAAGTCCTTCTCTTCCCCACAACACAGTTAGCAAGCAAGTCCTTCCCCCAACTCCCACACAGCAAGCAAGTCCTTCCCTCACTCCTACACAACACAGCAGTCCTTCCCCACAACAAAGCATGCAAGTCCTTTCCCCACTCCTACACAGCAAGCAAGTCCTTCCCCCACAACAAAAGCATGCAAGTCCTTCCCCACCCCTACAACACAGCAAGTAAGTCCTTCCCCACTCTTCCACAACACAGTCAGCAAGCAAGTCCTTTCCCCACTCCTCACACAAGCAAGTCCTTCCCCCACTCCTATACAGCAAGCAAGCCCTTCCCTCACGCCTACACAACACAGTCAGCAAGTCCTTCCCCACTCTTCCACAACACAGTTAGCAAGCAAGTCCTTCCCCACTCCTACACAGCAAGCAAGTCCTTCCCCCACAACAAAGCATGCAAGTCCTTCCCCCACCCTACACAACACAGCAAGTAAGTCCTTCCCCACTCTTCCACAACACAGTCAGCAAGCAAGTCCTTTCCCCACTCCTACACAGCAAGCAAGTCCTTCCCCCACTCCTACACAGCAAGCAAGTCCTTCCCCACTCCTACACAGCAAGCAAGCCCTTCCCTCACGCCTACACAACAGTCAACAAGTCCTTCCCCACTCTTCCACAACACAGTTAGCAACAAGTCCTTCCCCCACTCCTACACAGCAAGCAAGTCCTTTTCCCCACTCCTACACACAACAAGTCCTTCCCACTCCTACACAAGCAAGTCCTTCCCCACTCCTACACAGCAAGCAAGTACACAGCAAGCAAGTCCTTCCCCCCCCTACACAGCAAGCAAGTCCTTTCCTACACAACACAGCAAGCAAGTCCTTCCCCACAACAAAGCATGCAAGTCCTTCCCCCACCCCTACACAACACAGCAAGCAAGTCCTTCCCCACTCCTATACAACACAGTAAGCAAGTTATTCCCCAACCCTTGCACAACACTAAACAAGTTCTTCCCTCAATCCTTCACAACACTAAGCAAGTCCTTCCTTCACAACAAAGCATGCAAGTCCTTCCCCACCCCTACACAACACAGCAAGCAAGTCCTTCACTCACTCCTTCACAACACAGTTAGCAAGTCCTTCCTCACTCCTTCACAACACTAAGCAAGTCCTTCCCCACAACAAAGCATGCAAGTCCTTCCCCACTCATACACACAAGCAAGTCCTTCCCCCACTCCCTACACAGCAAGCAAGTCCTTCCCCACTCCTACACAGCAAACAAGTCCTTCCCCCACTCCCTACACAGCAAGCAAGTCCTTCCCCCACTCCTACACAACACAGTCAGCAAGTCCTTTCCCCACTCTTCCACAACACAGTTAGCAAGCAAGTGCTTCCCCCACTCCTACACAACACAGCAAGCAAGTCCTTCCCCCACAACAAAGCATGCAAGTCCTTCCCCCACCCCTACACAACACAGCAAGCAAGTCCTTCACTCACTCCTTCACAACACAGCAAGCAAGTCCTTCCCCCACTCCTATACAACACAGTAAGCAAGTTCTTCCCCAGCCCTTGCACAACACTAAGCAAGTCCTTCCCTCACAACACAGTAAGCAAGTCCTAAACTCCTACCCAAACCATCATTCGTCAGAAAATACTTTTAATACACTAATAATCTGCTTTAGTATGTGGACGTCTCTAAATAGCACTTACTTATACATCATTCAATATCTTTCTTTCTGTCGGGGAGCCGGATATATTCTGGGCGGATTCAATTTTTCAGTTTTCTTTGGTCTCTTGTTCAACGTGATGGTACATCGTTATCTGGACAGCAAGTTCTGGTTCTCATCCTCCCTGGGCAGGTATCTGCTTCTTCCTGTAAAATGAATATTTAATTAGCCAAATTTGTATATTGTAGAGTGACAAGAAATAAAGTCTTTCACTCTCGATCATTCAATATTCACTTTTTGCTAGACTAGACGTATTCTGCTATGCTTCTTTGCCTTCCACAACAAGCCGTGCATATTGGATTTAATTGTCCCCTCACACAAGCCTGTATCACCCGCAAGAAACACGTTTTCTTTCCTAAACACCCGAGCTATGGTATCCATTCCTCCAAGTAAACTGCTGTTTCCTGGATGTTCCTTCCCTTCTCACTTCTACATTCTCCACCCTATCCTTCTATCCCTTTCTTCCTACCACAAATTTTACCAGTTTCACTTCCCATTCTCCCAGTTTGTCCATTCCACCCAAGTGTCAATCCATTACAGTACTTTACAAGCGTATTTCATCTCCATATATAATGAAAACTTAATGGCAACACAAGAACCTCTACTGAATTTTTGGAACCGACAGGCAAATCCGGCAATAGATCAAGAAATTACAGCAGTCTTCACTTGAAAGAATTTGCCATCAATCCCGAGCTCAAAGGAGAGCTATTAATATTGTAATTAATGGTATCGTTACTTGTTATATATACGAGGAATGATAAAAAAGTTCGGTGAATGTTACTGCTACAAGGAATGAGCGAGTAGTGGTTAGGCCTGTGGGTGGGGCTTACATCTACCACACTCCTCGTTGCCACCATTACAGTATGTGCCAATGTGCCATGGCATTGAATAAGGACTTGTCTGCAGCATCTCGTGCATTTGTAGAAATGTCAGTTTGAGCAATATTCAAACAAAATTTTGCTTTTAGCTTGGCAAGACGGCAACAAATGCACAACATGCTTGTAACGATTTATACACCTGAAGCTGTGAGCAAGGAGAGTTTTCAATTAGTTTGAACACTTGGGAAGGAAATGAGTCGCCTCTTGTGACCGATGTTAGTGCAGCTAACATGAATGGTGTCAGATTTACTTATTTCAAAAATTACCAGTTTAAGTGCTTGTGTGCCAATATGTTTACTCCTTAATGAGCACTGCCCAATCACCCTCATATCACCTTGTTGATCCTTTAAATCTTCCATTAATGCTCCATCGCCTCTTACTGTTAGAACCACTCACTGATGCTTCCATTCACTAACATTCTCACGTATACTTTAATAATTAACAGACAATCCAGTTCCTTTGTACATCCACATGCAGCTTTCATTTCAGCATCTGCCCATCAGCACAATAAAACTCCTTTCCATCCATCTCCTGTGTACTTTCTCACCTTGGGCATGTACAAGTATTTCCCACTATAAGTCTCAACTCTTGTATCAGTCTCCCTATATATACAATAATTCCTGATACTAAATTCCACAAGTCCCAACCATTCATGAACTCTCGCATCTACATCCATTACTATCATACAAACTTCAAAGACAGTTATTCAGTTCTCCCTACAACCTCCTTCCACCCCATCCTCTCACTGTTACCTGCACACTAACGTCCATATCACAACCAGATTTTTATATTCCATGATACTTCAGGGCTGACCATTCTATCATGCACCACATTTCATCATTACATTGCCACTCCTCTCACTTTTACCTTTCAGACATGATTTTTCTCCCTTAACCTGTCCCAGCTCAACTTTCCTTAGCCCTTCATCTTTTGTTTCACATGTAGTCAAGAATAAGCTCCTCTCCCTTACTATCCATTGTCACTATTCGTTCTGTGATTATATCTACACCCAAACATCAAGTCCTAGTGAAGAAGCTATTGGTAAACCTCCTGAGTCATGCTAACTTTGAATCTAAGATGGTCCCATAATATTTAACGAGTCACTTGACCTGTTCAAGGAATTTTGTACATAAAACCCCATCATCACAAAAAATCCTCCCGTCACCTTCTACTGTGACCTTGACAAAATTTATTCCCGTTCTATACTTCGTCCAGAGACCCACATGCTGCTCCTAGCTCGTTAAGTTAGGTCAGCACAGGGGGTCACGTCAGATGCACAAATCTTACCGATCTGACCTTAAACTTCATTAATTTGTACTCTACACACACGTGAGAAACGCGTTTCATTAATATTTAAACTGATAAAATGCATAATTTACCGACCAGCAGACACCGTCATCTTGTATCTATCCCTCCCCTGGCCCTCCTACCTTCACTTTTACCCTTTAAAATCAATAAACTATAACAAATGATTGATAAGCGTCTACCTTGAGCAATGAT